TTTGTGAAATACTATTTGTAAACTTTAAAAGATTCATCATATACTTTACTGTCGATAAATATCATACTTCATGCTTCTAAAAAATGTACCTTTAAGAGAATGCAAAGAGCTTCCATTTAAGAATAACTCCTTGTGTACAGGAATTATTTTCGGAGGCCCCTCACTGTAGCGCAGGCCCCACCCAAATATATTTAAAAAACCTTTCTCAAAATACGCATAGTATTTTTTAATCAATAATACGTATAGTATTAAAATGCATAAATATACTGATGTGTAAAAAAATTAAAAACCTTTCTCCAAGACAAGAAATGCACACAGCATATATGTCATATTTCCCTTCAAAGGTAATGGTTTATTTGACATTTTCTACTCGTCTATTAAGAAATGCAACACATATATGTCATATTTCCCGTGAAAGTTTATGATTTATTTGACATTTTCTACACGTCCGTTATGATTTATCAAGGTCATGCCGAGTTAACACAAAATAAAAGTATAAAAAATTCGAACGTGAACCCGAGCCTCTCGGGTGAGAGCCGAGTATTCTAACCAACTAGACTACAACACATTTATTAACTCAATGCAACTTATAGCCAGGTTTCAACCATTTAAATTTGTCAACAATTTCATATAACATCGTCAATAGAGCCTTTTCGAGATGCTTTAATTTAATTTGTTGCCAAATAGTAGCATCTCACACGTCCCTTTGTTTCCTTATTCTGGACCATGTACAAACATTCTACTAATTCAATTAGAATATACCTTAATGATGAAATTTCTTGTCCTAATGACGTTTTTTACATTCCCTACTCGTAATTAAACACTTTCCACAAGATTCTTGAATTTGACATTCCTCGTATTCATCATTTTAATTAATTTATTAAGAAAATCTACTGGATTTTGCAAATTATAATATAAATTTTAAACTGACACGTTTGAAGAAATTTAATAGTGCTTCTACACTTCATCAATTTCCTAGGAATATAATATTTAAATTTATTTAAAACACTATAAGGATTTAAAAAAAGAAAAAAAAGAAAGTGTCCGTGTTTTGCGGATCCGAATATATTTCTAGTTTTCTTAAGACACTGAATTTTTTTAAATCCTATAAAAATATATTTGAAATTAAAATAAATCTTACATTTAAAGGACTCGTCAAATTTCATTTGTTATTTATTAGAGTTTTCCCAAATTCTTTGAAATAAGGATCCGTTTGATTGTAAGGGTGGAAAATGGGTGAAAAAAAATGAATTCCAGGGAAAACAATTATCTAAAAATTGTTTTCCAAAGAATTGTTAATTAAGTGTGTTTGATTGGTATAATTCTTTACCCGAATTTTTTTTTTAATTTGCTCGAAAACTATTTTTGCGTCATTTTTTCATCAAACTTTAGTATTCGTTTGGTTTCGTTTAACATGAAAATTGTCTATTGAAGTGAATTTTTTTTTTTACAACCGATTATGAAATCTTATTTCAA